ACTTAAACATAAAGTGAAAGTCCTTTCCTTGGGCTCATCAGACTTACAGAGAAAAAGGTCAGATAGCTTAATGCTGGAGTCTTCTAGCTACTCAGGGGAAATCAGAGACCATAGAGAAGGTTCTTTGGTTGATTTCAGATTCTGAGAGGCTAGAACAGATAGGACCCAACATAGCTGAGGATGTCTGTCACAAAACTGGGGGGAGACTTACTTGTGGACACTTGTCAAGTCCTGCAGCATGGAAATCTGAGAAAAATCTTGAACACCTACAACTTAAAATATATACAAAGCCATCTCATGTTGCATGTGTTATAGGGAGGGAACAGAATCAAAACATACTCTGTTAAGGTTGCTTCTAGGCTCTTAGAGCATGACTTGATTTGGTATACCTGACTGTTAAATATCACTGCCTGCATGATTTTCCATGCCTGAGGTCTAGATGTGCCCAGGCAGCTGAGTTCTGGTGAGGGGCATAGGGCAGAAAGTTTCAGTGGACATAGTTCAGCCATTTCCAAGGACGATACTGGCATCTCAAAGGAGCTCTCTGACAAAGACAGACACGGACCTCAGGATTTCAGGGCAACATTCAACTACCAGACCCACAAGACCATTTCTTGTGTCCCTGCAGCTCCTTATTCATACCACACCTCGTACATTCACAGTGACAAGCTGGTCCATCCCATACACGGAATGAATTGGGGATCCTGTGTCAAAAAATAGCAGGTGATCCAGCCTGCCATTACTTGATCTTAGTATCTGTGTAACTATCAGTCTGCCTTTGCATATAGGCAATCTTAGTCCATGTATGTAATATTTTATAAGCAACTTTTATGGGTTCTTTTCCCCATAGGAGAGAAAGTTAGGAGAGACCTGATAGAAAGGGAGAAACAAACCACTTCCAGTCTCTGTCTCCAACAAATTCCACACTCTCATGGTCTCTGGCACCACTTCCCAGTAACCCCAAAAGATGTTCACCTGCTCCCACAGCACTAAGAAACAAACAGTGAAACAGGAACAAAGAAGCTCCTACCTAGGATGACCAACATAACCCCTTGACAGTGCATCATGGAGGGAAAACCTTATCACTAAAGCAAAACCAAACACACATGCACATACACACAGCTCTACTGCTGTGCACTATTAGCATCCTCCCCATTTTCTATACGCATCTAATATCAGGAGATTTATGTTCAGGCCAAAAGCTCATGCTGGCAGGAGAGGAAAGTACTTTGGAGAAGAGAGGGGAAGGCGGGGGGGGGGGAAGCCTACAGTTTCTTGGCTTGTGATCAGCAGGCTGGATGCATTCTGTGGAACTAGGCCAAAGCATTAGTTATTATATTCAAGAGAACATCTGAATCCCAGCTCAAGGGAGCCGAGTTTGCGGCTCTCATTTATGCTGTGTATCAATTGAATATCAAACCACATTTTCCGCCTTCTGAATAATAAAGCTTAATAGTTTGGGACTCCCATATGGTCTATTGTTAAAATATTTCCAAACACTGGCTGCTGTTTTATTTCTGAAGGAAAGATTTCTCTTTCCTCTTCAAGCTTTGCTTGTAGCAAAAGCTAAATATATTCATCTTTTAAATATTTCCAGAGTTTTAAGAAGGGCTGAAAAATGAGGGGATAAGGAAAAGCAAATACATTTTGAAATTGGCTTTTTTTTTTTAATGTCACATGCAAATGTTTGTTCCAGGCAGAAGCAGCTGGTGCCACCAGGCTCTGCTGTTCAGAACAGGGGGTGCAGAAGCTTTCAGAAACCATGAGCTGCTCTAACAAAGGAGGACCACACAGACTCAAACCATTCACAAAAGGACCCAGGCCGATTATTTGACTATTACTTACAAGGAAGCTTGGCCAGTAACGTAGGCAATAAATACTGGAGAAACCTGTTCTGTGCATAACCCAGGTTTGTCTTTTCACAAGTCCTGCTCTCTAATTAGCTACTCATTCCCCGAGGGCATTGCTGATGGATGGAGTGTATCAATTTGGTATATTTAAAAAAAAAAGTTAAGAAACTTGTTAAATAATAAAAGCATCAGCATAATACACTGCAGTGTGTTAGAAACAGTCACTAGTGCTCCTTCCCAGTCACACCAGAAAAGAGTATTCCTGTTCTTTCTGCTTTGCAGAAAAAGACTAGTGGCAGAGAGATTCTCTAACTTGCAAGGGCTGCAGCACCCTGCTCAGAGCCTGGATGGGAACTGAGAAATGCTCGCCGTTTGGTCCTGCATTCACCCCCATTCGATTAGCACAGAAGGACTCAACTGCTCAGTGAGCAGAAGTGAAACCATGCAGTGCTGCCTGGTTGTGCACTGGTGTGAACCTCCAGCTCCACCTCACCCAGCTCTTGCCCTCTCTATGAAGCGCTTCAAGCTCTCTCTGACAGGAGCTCTCACTGCAGCACCAGCTTGCACGTCTGCTGGTCACTCAGCAGAACAGAAGGTGCTGAGCTAGGCATGGCCAACAGCATAACACAGCACAAAAATGTAGCAGTTCCTACGGCCCAGGGAGCCAAGTAGAAACTTACGCTCTCTCCTCCTTACTCTTCTGTTCTAGCCCTCATTGCTGCTTCTTACTCCTGTCTCCTACCTCCCTCCTTCTGCCTGTCTGTTCTCCTCCCCTCCATCGCCTATCTGCCCCACCGTCACCTGCTCTGCTCCAGTGTACAGGTCTTGAGAGTCAGCTGTCCTAACCCTGAAACTGGTTGCTCATACGCAGCAGCTACCTCCCCAGAAAGGAAGAAATTCCAGTATTTCAACATTCACTCTCATCCCAATTTGGGGAGAAAAACTGAAATTAGAGGCTCTTTGTAGAACGGAAGTTCATAAGTTTAAAAAAAAAAAAAAAACAAACCCAAACCAAACCAAACCTTATTTGTGAACACCAGTGCATTTTGTGTCATTTGAAACGGAATATGTTTACATTACTGAAACCAAAGTTGGTTCATTTTGGTTTGGTGACCTGACCTGAGAAATTTTGTTCTGAGTCAGTACACTATTGAACTGCTTTTATTCCCACAACGTTGCATTGCCTCAGACACTGCAGTTTGGCAGCCTGATAACCCTGGTCTCACTTCTGGGTCAGACTCCCTGGCTGGAAGGCAGTTCCCATAGCACACACCGAGGCGTCCCGTGGCACAGCACGGTCTCCAGGAGAGCTGTAATGCCACAGGGAAGGCCAAGGCCCTTGGAGTCCAGCAGAAGAGGACAGGTACATCAGACAATAGCTCTCTGAGCAGCCGAGGACTACCTGGAATCCAACACAATGTTTTGAACCAATTCTGAGTGAAGTCTTTCAGACCAGTTAAAGAAAAGGAAAGCAAAGAGGTATTCCCATTCAGGTACTATAGACAGTTCAATGTAATATTTCTGGTAAAAAGCTAGTTTATTCATTTTACAGGTGATCAGAAATCTAGAATTGGGCTTTTCTAGGAGAAAAAACAAAAAAAAGGTTCTATTTTAAAGAAACTGTTTTTCCCTGAAAAAGCCATTCCAAAGAAAAACTCGAATCAGGCTCCCACTGACCACAGCAGCAGTCTTACAAACTGTCCTAAAATAATCCAGTGAACAAAGTTCACTCTTGCAGAAATTTCCCCAGCAGGGAACTTAAATTATAGCAATATCAACACCCCTCTGCCTCCTACACAGCTCCTGTTGTGACCCAAGGACTGTAGGATTGAATATGACGACTAGTTTAGAGAGAGTCAGACAGGTATTGAACTAGAGGTTTTGCAACAGACGTCTGAACGGTCGATCCCTTGCTGCTTCTAGCTGAGGCATGGACATGGCTTTTACAACAGTTGGGTAGAAGCAAGTGCTAGCAGAGTTGCTGAAGGCTCCGAGTTCTGCCCCAAACATCAAGAGCTGTTTGTTGAGCATGAGTTGGTGGCACCTCTGAAACAAGGGGGGAGGACTCAGTGGGAGGATTAGTATGTACGCACAGAAAGCTTTTTTAGTAGCTTTCCTGTAGACTCTGTAATGCTTCTCTTGCAGTGTGTGTTCTTACCTCTAGGTCTGTATATCTGAGAGAAGGTAGAGTGCATATGCATGTATGGTTTTGATTTACTTTAGAAAAAAAAAAAGAAAGAGGAGAGATACTTAGCCTGTAGTTTCAGT